GCTGAGATCTAGGGTTTTCTTAGAAAGCTGGTTTAGGGCAGTTGGCGAGGAGAGACATCGCTAAGGGGCTTGCCTGAGGCAGGCGGATTCTAACATTTTCAGAAAATCTTTTGGAAAGAACAAGTCTACTTCAATAAATAAAGGAGAATAAAGAAAATTCAAGCCCTTCAGTAACCTCAGCAAACCTGGACCACACAAAACTACGTTGGTACTGGGATAAGAAAGACTTGGCTCCTACACCCTCACAGCTGGAGGGACCCTATCCAGCCACTGAGGCCCGGTGTCACCAAAAAGGGGTTCTGTTCATCTTTGATGTGGGCACACGCTTGGGATTACACTATGATACCCTGGCAACTGGAATAATTTATTTTAATCACTTCTACATGTTTCATTCCTTCAAGCAATTCCCAAGATATGTGACGGGAGCTTGTTGTCTCCTTCTGGCTGGGAAAATAGAAGAAACGCCAAAGAAATGTAAAGATATCATCAAAACAGCTTGTAGTTTATTAAATGATATACAATTTGGCCAGTTTGGAAAAGATCCAAAGGAAGAAGTGATGGTTCTAGACAGAATCCTACTCCAGACCATGAAGTTTGATTTACAGGTGGAACATCCATACAAGTTTCTCCTCAAGCAGCCAAACAACTCAAAGGCGATAAAAACAAAATTCAAAAGTTGGTTCAAATGACATGGACGTTTGTAAATGACAGTCTCTGCACAACCTTGTCACTAGTGGGAGCCAGAGATCATAGCAGTGGCAGTGATGTATCTCACAGGACGTTTGTGCAAATTTGAAATAGGAGAATGGAACCTCCAAACCCATATATAGGAGATGGTGGGAGCAGTTTGTGCAGGATGTCCCTGTGGACGTTCTGGAAGACATCTGCCACCCAATCCTGGATCTTTACCCACAAGGAAAACAACAGATGCCTCATCACACACCCCACCAGCTGCAGCAGCCCCCACCTCCCCAGTCTACACCGCAAGAGCCACAGGTGCCACCGCCCCAGCCAGCGCAGAAGGCCTCGCAGCCGCCCGCTCACACAGCCCCCGCCGCAGCAGGGCCCACAGCCCGACAAGCCGGCCCGCACCCAGTCCTCCCCGCACCCAGTCCTCCCCGCAGCCCAGTCCTCCCCGCACCCACTCCTCCCCTCAGCCCAATCCTCCCCGCACCCAGTCCTCCCCGCACCCAGTCCTCTCTGCAGCCCAGTCCTCCCCGCACCCAATCCTCCCTGCACCCACTCCTCCCCTCAGCCCAATCCTCCCCGCACCCAGTCCTCCCCGCAGCCCAGTCCTCCCCGCCCGCCAGCGAAGCCACCATGGTTGTTTCTCCCAAGGAAGAGAGCAAAGCAGCAGAAACACCGCCACCTAAATCCCCCAAATTGAGACCGCTCACCCTCCACTGCCTCCGGCGCACCCCCTGCAGACCCGAAGCGTCCCCTCTGGGCCCCCTTAGGCGAGGCGGAGCCCCCGGGCCCTGTGGATGCCAGTGAGCTCCCCAAAGTCCAGATTCCTCCTCCAGCCCACCGGCTCCGGGCACCTGCCGCCCCCACCGCCCTCCAGCTGCGTGACCGCGACGTCTACCACCAGCTCCTACATGTCGGGAGGGGGCCACCAGAGCCTGCGGTCCATGGTGAAGAACGAGGGCCCCTCGTATGGCACCCGGCCCCCAGCCTATGGCCCGCCAGCGCACCTGCCCTGCCACCCACACGTCTACCCCTAACCCGCCCCCTCCCCTAGTGCCCCCTCCACCAGCCTCCTTCCCCCCTCCTGCCATGCCACCCACTCCCCCCACCTACAACCCCAACATCCCCCCCACCCAAGCAGTGCCCCTCCCCCTCCCCCAGGCCTGGGCCTGCCACCCGCCAGCTACCCCCCTCCGGCTGTCCGCCCCCCCTCCCCCGGGAGGACAGCCGGTGCCCCCACCCATCCCCCCACCCCGCATGCCTCTAGTTGGGGGGCTGGGGCGGGCAGCCTGGATGAGATAACGCGATGCCTTTTCTTACCCTTGGTTTTTTAAGCAAAGTTTTTCCAATCAACTCGAAGAGTAGTTTAAGTGGGTAAGCAGCAGGGTACCTTCTATGATACCAGACATTTGCAGTGTGGGAAGACACAGACCCGACCCTGATATGAAGTCGGGGAGGTCGTCCTCCGCGTCGGGTGAATGGGGCCTCCGCACTGGTGAAAATGTTAACCAGCCGTATTGGCTCAAGAAATAGCTTCAGTAAGGAGTGAATTTCCTTCGAGAGATCAGTGCCTATTTTTCCTGGAAATGCCATTTCAAATAGTCCAGTTCCATCTGAAGTCAAGCTGTTGTCCTCACTTTCATTCTGTGATGTTCTCTCCCGACATCCAGTAGGTCAGACGAACCACTTTTTTGATTTAGAGATTTTTACATCCTTTGTATTAAACTTATTTTGAAGGGGAAAAAAAAAAAAGCAAGCTGGTTTAGGTTGTCTGGTACCCAGCCAAAACTACCTCCAGACTCCAGACTTGTACCATGGCTACATGATACACCGAAATTTCAGGCCCTTGTCGAAGGAAAGCGAGACCTCAGGTCCAACCAAATTTGGGGTTTTGGGGGGTGTGGGGGCGGAAAGGAGTTATTCAGTGACATCGTCAGATATACACATAATTTATTCACTTTTCTATACATTTTATATCAAGTTAGATTTTACAGGACTCAGACCACATCAACTTAGCTCCTCACTAAGTTCCTCTCACTGAGTTCATCAATGACGTTTTTTGGCTTTTATCAAAGCATTTTTGTATGGATGTTTTTGAGTCATATGGATGGATTTTGTATTTATTAAAAACATTTTTCTTGAGCATTCAGTGAAAATTTTGGCTTAAAGTTAGTACACATTCATCTATACTATGGAATATGATTCAACCATGAAAAGGAGTGAAGTATTGATACATGGTATAACGTGGATGTACTTTGAATGCATTACACTTGGTGAAAGAAGTCAGACACAAAAGGCCAGATATTGTGCAACCTCATTTTATGAAATATCTAGAATAGACAAATCCATAGAAATAGAAAGCAAACTGGTGGTTTCCAGGGGCTAGGAAGAGAGAGGAATGGGAACTGACTGACTTCATGGGTATAGGGTTTTCTTTTGTTGAGAATATGTTTAACTAGATAAAGGTGGTGATTGCACAGCACTATGAAATGTACCACTCTGAATCACACACTTTACAATGGTTGCTTTTATGTTATATGAACTTCAATAATAATAATTTTAAAAATAGTGCACATTCAATCTAAAGAGAAGATTTTGGGTAAGCAAGGTCATAGGACATATTAGCAGCCACTTGAATGGTGGTCAGAAGAGTGGTTTTTCGGGTATTCTGTGATCCCCAAAGGACAGAACTAGAATGTTTAGATGAGCATTATAAACCATCACAAAACCCTGGAGAGACTGAAGCCAATTCTGGAGGACTATTTGCCCACCGTGAGATGGTCGAACAAAGGGTCACGGAGTACCATTGACAGAAGAAGCCTTAGGTCCATAAAAAGGACCATGGCCTTCCCTTGTGCCTATCCCCCATCACAGATGACTGCAAGACTTACTTGTTCATTGCTGCCAACCAAGGCTGTGTTCACTGCAGTTTCCAACATGAGTTTATCATGGGTAGAAGGAATGCATAGTCTCACCCAACAACCAGGAACCCCACAGCCTGGATGCCCAGTTCTCCAATCTCCTTCACTCAGCTTAAACTACCTTAGTAGTTTGGTTGGACATAGTTGGACATAGCCTCAACTTTGACATCACCCAAAACTATATCAGCTCTAAAATCACATACTACAGCATCTCACTCTTTAATTACTGCTGCCTATTCTTGTAGATCTAGTGTTCAAGTATCTCACTGGAACACTTGTCAATCTTACCTCATTGAACATCCAGGCCATTAACTAGTTCCTTTATTCCTTCTTTTTTTCTGTTCTGTACTGTTGCCAAACATATCTTGTCTCCATAATTGGATTTTAAAACTTGCCTTCTGAGACAATTCATTCCATTTGAGAAAAATGGTCCTGCTCCTTATCGTGAGCCCATCTGCATTTGTTTGTCCACTTATTCATTCATACATTCAAAAAATATTTGTTAAGTATCTACAGCATATTGGGAATATGCTACATTCTAGAAACACAGCAATGAACAAGGTCATTTGTTCCTACCCTTAAGGAACTTAGAATCTAGTAGAAAATACAGACATTAAGCAATTACACAAATAATTAGTTAATTAGAATTAAAGGAAGAAAGAAAACTATGTGCTGTAAGAGCATTAAAGAGATGACCTAGTCTAAGCAGTCAATTGTCATGAAGGGACATTTGAGCAGAGAACCTGAAACCTGAGTAGGAGTCAAACAAGCAAAAAGTGGGGATCTCCTAGATGGGGAGGGTAGATAACTCCAGGTGAAAGAAGCCAACGTGTTCAAAAGCTCCAAGTGGGCAGACACAGCTCTCCGTTGTGGATAGAGTGTAACGCCTAAAGGGGGATGGTGTGAAATGAGGAGTGTAGATAGGCAAGACTAGATTTTGTGTGACTTGTGGCCTGTGGCAATGACTTGGAACCACACAGTCCCTCCCAACAGCAAACGGAGACCCTGGAGACAAATGAGTTTTGGGGATTTTATCATGTAATCCAGGGATGGTGGTAAGGGTCTGTTCTGAGGCTGTCAGTGTGAATGGAATACAGCTGGTTAAGGATTATTAAAAGAGCTATTAATAGAAAGGATTTGGCACCATTGGGACATTACGAAGACAAATAAAATCCCCTTTATCATATCCAAAGCTCTGTTGTGGTGTTGGTTGCACCATCTTAAGGATATACCCCCCCCCAAAAGAATATACCCAAACTACTGGACTGTACACTTAAAAGGGTGAGTTTTATGGTACGTGAATTTTATCCAAATAAAATAGAACTTTTAAGAAAGGACCTACACCCAGATCTAAATACAAACATTTTTATTATCAAACTTAGTACTGCCATGTCAAATACAAAATAGGTATGGCATAAGCCTAAATAAATACATACTTTAAAAGCTATAAAATATTTTAAAATCATAATTTAAAATACTTTATCAAACCCAAACACAGACCACACTTACATTCCAGACAATATTTCCATTGCAGTATATACAAATATTCATATTTACAATATTTGAGCAATTTCAGAGAAAATGATACGTAGGTATTCCATAGGTACCTATTCCATAGGTAGCTTTATTTCCCAGAGTTCTTTTGCCCTGTCAAAATCTCTGACGTTCTGACCCTGAGCCTCTTCCCTGTTTACTTTTGGCTTTGCCTTTGCCAACATGCAGCCTGCACTTAATCTGAAACTTTTATTTTTCAATACATGCTAAATTAGTGAAAGTGTGGGAGAGTTTTGATTCTCACATCATTTGCAAGATGGAGCAAGAAGTTCTGGTGATGGACGGGCCAAGAATTTCTCACTGTCAATGATCAATCGAATCTTGGAGATTCCTTAGGAATTTTAAACTCCTTTATACATAAATATAAACACTCATACAGACTTTCCTTTCTTCATGAACATCCTAATAAACAAAATAACTCAATTAGGGAATAAATATTAAAAGTCTTCACTTTTTAAAAGAATCCACTGGGCAAATCCTTTACACAGTGAGTTCCTACCATGAATTTAAAATTTTATGTAATATTCAAGAATTATATGTTGACACATTGCACCTGACAAGCATCTTTGTAAGAATGCAAAGCACATCCATATTTCTATATGTTTTTTTCAACAAAGATATTCATAAAAGTGTACCTTAACTGGTTTGCATTTATGTTTACATAATACATAAATGGCCTCACGGAAGTTTTTCATCATGGAAAACCACATACCTCTGAAAAAATAGCTGACAGTGTACAAATATATGCCATGCAGGTTCTACTCTCCTGATACTACTCATATTTTTATTTTTTTTTAAAAGTAGGCTCCACATCCAGCATGGAGCCCAATGAAGAGCTTGAACTCATGACCCTGAGACTAAGACCTGAGCTGAGGTCAAGAGTCAGATACTTAACTGACTGAGCCACCCAGGTGCTCCACTATTCATGTTTTTATTGTTTTTATTTTTTTATTTTTATTTTTATTTTTATTTTTATTTTTTTACCATTCATGTTTTTAAAAGCAACTATAGTAAAAACATTCACAACTTTCCACTGATTCACGTAATACTGGGGACAGCATTTGCCCCTTTTAAAAATGAATTTACTACAGATATAACATTAGAGTCCCTTCATAAACAAAGATCCATGATAAGTAACTTTTACCCTATCCTAGCCCTAACATGCATATATTTTAAAGTCTCTAAACACTTACACTGAATTAAGAATTAGGGAAAATTGTACTTTAGCCAATGCAAATAAAAGAACACTTTAAAATCTCTAAGAACACTTTAAAATGCACTGAATCCCACAAGGGTAAAAGGGATTAGGACTGTGTTTAGCAATCCTTGCACAGAGTATTAAGCAGGATTTCCCCCATGTACTCGCCTGTGGGCATTTAAAATATTTTTTTGCATGTTGGTGATAGAGTATCTTTGACCAAGTTGTTTCCCCTAAACTCCTTGACAATTATTCATCCCAGTGACAGCAACCATGTAATCAGTAGTTGAGACACCGTGAGGAGCAAAAGAAAGAAATAATATCACAAAATACTGTTTCTCTGCTGAGATCTCACAGTGAGCAGGGAAGAGAGTTAGAACAGGGATTCGGAGATTCCAGAACCTGAGTCTCTTCACTTTTGCCTGGAAGAGAACATGTTTTCCCTCCATCAGCCAACATTTTCCAGATGCTGAGAAGAGGAAAGAGAAAGCCGAGTCTTGCTGGTGGCAGGCTGGCCTCACCCACTGGAGTTTGGAACGTTGAAGTCCTCATGGGGCCATGCTCTCAGCTGTAAAGGTGGCAGGTTGTGGGAGGTGAGAAGTGCCAGGAACCAGAGGAGTGCTCTCTGTCTCTACCATCATCAGAGTATTGCTCTAGTTCCCTGGAGGTACCGGTGTTCCTGCAAAGGAAGAGTGCATGCCATCAGGACACTTAATATTCTACATTAATAGCAACAACAAAATTCACCTTCTCGCACAAACCACTGTGTTCACTGTCACTGGGGAGTCCAAATTTGAAGAGCAAACTCCTATTCTGTTAGGGCAACTAATCTATTCTGTATGATATCATAACAGTGGATAACACGGCATTATACACTTGTCAAAACCCATGGAATATACAAAACCAAGAAGGAGGGATCCCTGGGTGGCGCAGCGGTTTGGCGCCTGCCTTTGGCCCAGGGCGCGATCCTGGAGACCCGGGATCGAATCCCACATCGGGCTTCCGGTGCATGGAGCCTGCTTCTCCCTCTGCCTGTGTCTCTGCCTCTCTCTTTCTCTGTGACTATCATAAATAAATAAAAATTAAAAAAAAAAACAAAACCAAGAAGGAATTCTAATGTAAACTGTGGACTTTAGTTAATAATAATGTATCAATATTGGCCCATCCGTTGTAACAAAATGCCACACTAGCTTGAGTTGTTAATAACAGAAGAAATTGGAGCATCAGGGGGTATGTTGGAATTCTAGTTTTTGCTCTCTTTTTCTGTAAATCTAAAACTGCTTAAAAATATAAAGTCTCTTAGTTTACAAAATCTATTCAGGGAGGACTTGATTCTTCCAAACTCTCACAAAGCTGAGCAGAGTGGCCAAAAACACAGTTCTAGATCTAGACTACCTGGGTTTGAACTCTGGCTCACTAGCTTTGAAATTTCAGGCAAGTTATGTAACTTGTCTGTGCCTCATATTCTTCATCTATATGATAATAAATATAGCAACAGTCCCTATCTCACACAATTCCTATCTTAGGGCAGTAGGTAGAAAATAGTAAATATCACGTAAGTGTTAGCTATCATTATTCTTATTAACTTTCACAAGGGAAATCACTATGTAAAGGCCAGATCCTTGCTGCTTTCCCCTCCTTCTACAAAGAAATGAAACAGCTTTCCGTAAAACACTGTGAAAATGGTAATACTCTGCCTCAGAAAATAGGCAGGTTTGGAGAATTCAAGGAGCAACAGAACATGAAGAACAGATACGTTCTCTCAAAATCATATGTGATTTCAAGTCTTACCTCATTCCTTTGGACTTAAAATAACTACAAAGGCATGTGATAGGATCCGTCTGATTGAAGGCTCTGGCAACTGCTGTGGAATACATGAGAACACTAAGTCAAACACTGTTTTCCAACACAAACAGATAAAAAATGTACAGAATAGTCAATGGCATGCTTCAGACAAGAATACAACTCACCTGGCAGGAACAAATTTCTTTGCTGCAAGAAAAAGAAAACTATTAATTTGGACTAAAAGACTTTTAAGGACATATCAAATTCAGAAACAATATGGCTCTATTCACCAGGGAACACCATTCCTTTGGGGACCCTGTAATAATCAGAGCGCAAACACATCTTGGTGACATGCAAAGCACGCGCTCATCCTAAGGGCTCAGCGGATAGCTGTAGCCTTAGCTTGTCAAGTTCATCTGCCAGTTTTTCATGAGAAGTCTAGATTTTATGTGCGATTTCCCATTTTATAAATATCAGAATTTAACTCAAAAAATAATAAATATTCTGTAAACCAAACAGATCATAAGTGTGGCTAGATATGTTTGCATAAGTCCCCAGGAGATACCCCACATTTACGCCTGTATTCCAAATAAATATTTTGGAAATGTTTAGCCATTTCCTGGGAGCACTAACTACATAAGTCTGACTGCACAGCTCCCAGGGGAACCACAGAATTCCGGTGAACAGCATCCCTTAGAGTTGTCCACTGTTAACTTTTATTTTTCCTAAAACTCTTCCCACTTTGAGTTGTACTATAAACCCTTTCTCTAAGACCATGGCTCAATTAATGGCAGTTTATTGGTGTTTATCTAGCAACTCGAGTCTAATTACTGTTTAAATGTGCAAGAGAAAACAGGATTCATCAGTGAGGGGGGAAAAGACATTTTTCAAAAACATTTTGGGTGGGATACGCTCACAAGTTCCCTTACCTCTCTTCCGCAGGCGTTTCAGGAGCCAGAGGAGAAATGAGGCTACTGTCAGGAGGGAGGTCCCCCCAGCAGTGAGTCCAACTGCCAAGGGAATGCTGGACTCCGTGGGAGCTAGGCAAACAGTGGAGGAAGAATTGTCATGAGAAGGAACTGAATTTAAAGTCTTTCTGTTCTGGCCATTTGCCCTTTCCTTTGCACATTGATTAGCCATCAACTTCAATACATAAGGAGGAGGCATGGTAGGTACTAACGGCCTCTGAGGTCAGCCCAAACCACCCGTGCCAGACGGTATCCCGCCACTGCCATGAGAGCTCTTATCTGCCAGAACCCACTGCTCCTCGGTCAATACCGCATGTGTGCTCTCTCCCTTACTTGGTTTCCTTTTCCCTTCTTTGACCGGTATCTCCCCTTTTTCCACTTGTCAGAATGTTACCCATTCTGTTACCCGTACCCCTTGTCACTTGCCACCTCTTCTGTTTCCTCTCTATCATCACAAAATTAAATATTCTCCAGCTTATTAACCTTGGGAACCTTTCTGGTTTAATGAATGGTTCATTGCTTTCCCCTTCTTCCTTCCAGTCCCCCAGACAACCAGTGCCAATCAGGGCTTCACCTTCACAGGTAGGCAGCATCCCAGACCAGTGTCCCGTGGCGTCACACATCAGAGCTGCAGAGCCATTGAGTGTCCATCCTTCAGGACATGCAAACGCACACACAGCACCAAACACAGGCTCCCCACTGCAGCTTATGTTCATCTTTCCGGAAACTGCCAGACTTGAACATTGCACCACTGCAAATGATGAGCACATAATTAGATGTTAACAAAAATCTCCTGGGAAAATGGCTAAAACTGACTGAAAAGTCATCAGTAAACATAACATATAAGCACTTAGTTTTCAGCATGTAGGGAATTAGGATCAAGCCCCGTGGGACAATACTGCTTCAGATACATACAAAGTATTTGACCTAACTCCTTAAAGTCTAAATTCAGTCCTACCTTGGCAAGAGGGGACCTCCTGTGACCACCGTCCCTGAGATGTGCACTCAAGCTGAGCTGACCCATGTAATTCAAAGCCTTCCTCACAGCTGAAGGCACAGGAGGACTTGTAGGTGAACTCTCCAGTAGAGGAATGGGCACACCTCACCAAGCCGTCCTGGGGCTGCTGGACAGCATCACATTTCACAGCTGAAAGACATGAGTGAGCACATTAAAAGTCTGTAGCAGGCAGCAACAGGTGTCTCACATAATCAAATCCTGAGCTCTTCAATAGTTTTTATCTTAATATTAAAGCAAAAACTGTACCTTCACATGTGGGCTCTTCACTGTCCCATTTGCCTGTGAGGCCACACTGGAGTGTTTTGGATCCCTTCAACACAAATCCCTGCTCACAGAAGAACTCACAGCTGGACCCACTTTGGAAACTTCCAGAAGCACCAGGAAGACAGTTCATGTAGCCTCTCTCTGGGCTGGACAAGGCCTTGCACTGAGAAGCTGAGACATCAAAATGATGGTCAGAAAAGATTGCAGTGGAACTGGCGAGTCCTTGGAATTTGATGAACGAATCCATTCATTTTGGACAAAGCAATGCTCAGAGATACCAAGGCTCTTCATTAATCCCTGGACAACTGGGAAGATGACTGTTTTCTTTGAATGCCAGCCCCTTCATTGATAATGGCCCTCGGTAAAGGACAGCCTTTAAGAGAACCAGTGGATCCTGAGCACTGTTCTGACATTCGAAAGAAGTTACAGTCAAGAGAAAGATTTTACATAGTCAGAGACCAACTTATGGGTCCTGGCTGCTAATGGATGATGCCAAAATAAAAGGAAGGTAAGGAGGCAGCACATAAAATGTGTCTGCTTTGCAGTTTGGCTTTGGTCTTGTGGCTTCTTACCACTAGAAATGATTGTGTACAATATCTGGCTGTAAGAATACCAGTTTGTGATAGCTTGCTTTCAGCATCACTGCTCTTGCTTTAAAATAAATTAAGTTTTAGCACTTAGGCATGTATTAAGGGTGTCTTTATGTATGACACCACACTTGGTGCATTCTCATCACTGCTAATTATGAGCAGTTTCAGAAGAAAAGTATTAAGAGTTTTAAAATCAAGTCATGTTCTCACAATCCCACTTTAAATCTTCTCATGTGATTTCCCCTTAGATTAAGCTCTCTGCCCACTCCATAGCAATGTCTACAAAGCTCTATTTGCTCGGCACAGTCAAGAAGCCTGCAAAGCATGCACTCTCAGTACATACAATCCCTTCCCCAGGTAAGCTTTGGTTCTTTTGTATGAAACTCAAAATAGAAGATGAATGTTGCCCATCACATCTGATTACTCTAGTCAAAGTAGGCATCTAGTTTCATTTTAACTGCCCATGTTTGAAGATCGCTGCCCTTTCAGGAAGGGGATGTGTAAAGGAGGAGCTCTTGGGCTTACCTTTACAAACTGGGACTTGCTGACTCCATTGTCCTTGTGCAGTACATTCAATTTGGGCTGGCCCTTGCATCAGGAAGCCTTCCTTGCAGGTGAAATTGCAGGAGGATCTGACGGTGAACTCACCAGCAGGGGAATGGCTACAGCTCACAGACCCATTCTGAGGATGGCCGATGGCACCACATGTCACAGCTGTAACATAGGTAATCATGGACATTAGCAAGTCTGACCATTTAAAGTACAAGTTGAGAAAAAGAATGTTTACGGTAAATCTTGCTGTGGAGCCATTCTACCTTTACATGTTGGCTTCCTGTTGTCCCAGTTCCCGGATGAGGTACACTGGAGGCGCTTGGGTCCCATTAGTTCAAATCCTTCTTCACACTCAAAGGTACATGTCGTGTTCCATGGGAAGTTTCCAGAGTTTTGGAGACAGTCCATGACTCCATTGGCAGGATTTGTCAAAGCACTGCACTCAACCACTGGGGATTGAGAAAGCATCATGAATTTTACAGAAGAATGATACGTTCACTTCCTATTGAGTTGAAGTTTATAACAGGGCAAGGAAGCAGCCTTCGAACAGCAGATCCCAAAGTCCTAGGTTAATTCTTGGAAGCATGCACAGACACAATAAAGCTTTTATGCTTTTTCCTAATACCTTCCTCTTCCCTGATTGATTTATACTTTGACTATGCTGAGTGGTCTCTGGCCTGTGTTAACATACCTCATCATGTCTCTGATCTATTTTAAGTAAGGCAAAAACAAAGAAAAATAAACAGATTCTAGATCAGGATTTATGACTAATGGTGACAGCAAGAATACTGACATACACAACACATTCATTTATGTCAGCCCAGCAGGACCTGGAGACAAAAAGTTTCCATCTCCAGCTTAGAAAGATAAGCCTGAGGGGAAAAAAAAAAAACACTGTCAGGACTGCTTGACTACCATGGTCTTCAATTTATGTACTGCATTGAGAGAGGCCGGGCAGGGGGAGAGAAGTCATGAAGATTTCTCAAAGTGTGGTGCCACTGCTATAGGCACTCCCTTACACACCACCAGAGCCTCAGAAGCACCCATCTCAAACATGGAATAAAAACCTCTCTCAACCCAAGCAGGTGCCCTATAGGCCACACAAGCTGGCTGGGAGAAGAAGTCTTATTAAAAACAATAACAAAAAGAACTTTCCCTGGAGTTTTGAAAATGCTGTAAGTTGGATCAAAAACCAAGGCAACAGGGATGAGTTAGAGAATGTTGTGTGTGCATTTGGAGAGAGGTTTACCATTGCAGGCTGGAGGAGAAGCGCTCCATTCCCCTGTGGAAGTGCACTGTGTGGCTTCTGTGCTGCTTGGGAGGTAACCCTTGTCACAGCTGACAAAGCAGGAAGAATTGTAGCTGAAGGTCCCCAGAGGGTGAGTGCAAACCAGGCTTCCGTGCTCAGGGGCCTCCTGAGCTTGACAGGTCACAACTGAAAGGAGAAACCACATCAGATCTGCTCTCTATCACCCAGCATAAAATAAGAAAGTCCTGGAAACTGTAACTACAATTTATCAAATGCCTCCTATGTGCCAGGCACTATGCATTCATTCACATAGACCTAACTATTGGGGTTCATACTATTATTACCACCCTCATTTTACAGTGAGACAGCTGGCACTCAGGGAGTTTAACTACCCAGTCCAGGTGCTGTAAGTAATAGTGGTTTTGAAGCCAAGACATGATGGCCTTGGCTCTTACGCACCACGTGACACTACATGTCCCAGGGAAGGGAAGACATGCACACCTGATACCAAAGTCATCTAGGACACAGGATGGTGCTATCAACTCAAGTGAAGGAATGGGTGAAACGAGGACTTACCTTGCTCACACCTGAGACCTCTGAAGCCAGGGTGGCACTTGCATGTATAGTTGTTGACAGTCTCCACACATTCACCATGGCCGCTGCAGGATGTAGGGGTACAGGCAGCTGCAGAAAACACAATCCATGATGAGGAGGATCATCATTGTGCTTGTTATGCTTTCCCTTGGACTTAGGATCAGCAGTGTGTGACAGAGGTGTCACTAATTATAGGGACTGCCAGAGATTTTAACTGAAATGCTTCACATAACGCCAGGGCTCAGCTATCTTAAACCTTGATGTTAATGTAGAGATGTCAGGGGTATAGCTGTCACTGGCATCAAGAATAGAAAATTCCCTTTATCATAAATTTGATAGATAGTTCTCCTTCTACACATAAATGAGTAAAGTGTGTTGTATGTGTATACACTATACACATACATATACAATATATATATAATACTATATATGTATTGACGTACATATATGCATATGTGTACACATATGCTTTCTTGCCTACATGCTTGCCTACATTCACACAAAGAAGCAAAAAGATATAATGTACCAAATAGAATGCTTTAAAATTGTATTTTTTAGAACAGAATATTACCATAGTAGAGACCAGATTTTTCATGCTGTCAACAACTTGTCAAGATGCCCACAGCCTGAACCTCTCTCCCACAGCAGCCCATACCTGTGTAACATAAGGCAAGCTTCTTTTTGTCACATCTCTCGTCATTCCACTTCCCCGAGTCCTTGTCCCTCTTGATGTAGATCTCCACACAGTCTTCATTGTTTTGCTTATTGTTTGGTTCACCAGGAGCCCAGTTCTTGGCTTCTTCGGTCAGTAGCTTCTGGGTCCCTATCCAGGTCCACTTCTTGTTGACCTTCCTGATTCCAATCCAGTAGTAAGTTGGTGTATAGTTGAACATGGAGTTCAGGTATTTAATCTCTTCCTGGTTTTGAATCGCGACAAGATGTGTGTACCTTTGCTGACAGTAAGTACTAGCCTCGTCAAAAGTCATGGCTTCTGTGGAGGCATTGTATGACCAGGCTCCACCCTCTTTAAATAGGAGAAGCACTAAAGGGGAAAGGATGAAAGGCATGGGAAGGTTAGCACTGCTATGTGCTATTAACTGGGCTTTTTACAATCTTATTGTCATCATACAGTGGCCTTTGGAATGTCTCAAATTTTTTTCACCTTTTCCAAAGTAAGAAGGGGTACAGATGAGAAACTACCATAAACTACGCCTATGACTGAGCCTCCTGCGCTCATCCACCATAATCTATCAGTATGTCCACTACGGTAGAATAATAATCAGAGTAACTAAGCTTTTTGAGCACTTAATACACACCATTAAGCACCGTCTGATGCCCTTTCTGTGATGCTGGCTCCTCACAATGCCTCTGGGAAATAGGCTATCTATGATCAACACTTTATACATTAGGAAGCTGAGACACAAAGAGGTCAATTGCCCCTGGCCCAGGCTGGAACACATTGTGTAGAGAGGCCAGAGATGCTGCTAAACATCCTACAATGCACCAGCTCCCTGTGAGGAGCAAATATTCTGTCTGAAATACCAGTAGTGTCAAGGATGAGAAACTCTGGTCTAACAAATGACACTGACTTACCAAGAGTAAGAGCAGGGAGAAGCTGTGAAGTGATCATGACTTCTAGAGTTCTTTTCATCAAAAAATTAGTCTTAAAATGACTTTCTGTGGAGAGAGGGAGTACAAAATTCATTATAGAAAGAAATTTTAGGTAGCCGGTTACTGAGATCATTCTACAATGATGTTTTTAGTAGTATCATAAGACTTTAGGTAAAGGATAACAGTGCCATCATCTTTGTTTCAAAGAAGTTGACTGGATTGCACACATACAAAATTAAAATTTTCATCATGTAGATGAAAGAGAAAAGCCAGAGTTTAATGAGTCTGAATACAAGAACCTGAACAAGTCTTTTGTCAAAAGGCTTTCTGCATCTCTATTCATATGGATAATCTTGTTTCATGGCCACCCACATAAAGACTCTTTGCACTTACTATTCTGTGAAGCGGTGGTTTTGATGCCGATTTGATTCTTGATTGTGTCACTGCTGCTTCTGTCTCGTACCAGTTCACAGGTCTGATGTGAAGTCAGCCAAGAACAGCAGAGCATTGCTCCTGTTGGAGCCCCTTTATAGGGAAGCTCGCTTCCTGTGAGTAATAGGAGGATATGTCCAAGCCCAGTGAAGAGGAATTCCCCAGCAGCATCCAAAAAGTTTCCCGGGAATATCCATAACTCCAAAAAATTACAGTGATGTCAGAAACTCTAAGCCTCCAAGCTAATTCTTCTTTGCTCACATGCCCTTTTATTTTACATTAATCCTATTAATATGGCATACGTTTGGGTCTTAAATTTTAATAACATAAAATTGATGTCTTTAAAAAGTTTAAAAACTTTGCTTATTAGCAGCATCTCTCCTGTAATTGTGGTGGTAACCAGAATTCCATGAAAAGAAGCAAAACTCAGACTTAGTTTTATTATCTGTGGACTACCATTCTTAATTTTCTCACCTGTAGCTGTCAGCTGTGGGCCACCAATCTTTTTTCTCTCTCTCTCTCATCTACCAATTCAACCCATTTTAACGTACAGTGTCACACATAGGAATGAGTCACAAGGTATATCCTCAGATCTTGTGCATAATGATAGCTAAATTACTAGAAATAATATCTCCCAGGTAAATATTTGAAATAATTCCTTGTTTCTTAAAAACAACAAAAATGGGAAACATTTAGTTGTCCATGTCTGGAAAACATTTATTCATGATTTGTTCAGTGAAAAAAAAAAGATGAAAACTATATGTGTTCATAATTAAATTGACTCAAATTTTATTTAAGAGTTTTAAATTATGTATGTGTAAAGAATAACAAAACTGTACCCAAATGTTAACAGTGGCTAACTTTGGGTGGCAAGACTTGGGGTAAGTTTCTTCATGAATAAATTCTTCATGAGTATTTTCAGCATTTTCCAATTTTGGCAATGGCTCTCTATTACTTTTATAGTAAAAATAACACAGTTTAAAGGATCCTATGTCCAAATGCAGGTGAAGGGGATCTATATAATATCACTTATTCTACTCTTCATATTGACATTTATTTGGGGTGATAGCATATCCCCTTCTCTGCATCTTGTCTAATTTAAATGATAGACACAGTAAATGCAGATCATTTAAATTTCCATAGGGAAAGTTGTTGACCCCTATAAGTACCTTCCAGAAGATCCTAATTGCAAAGGAAAATTCTCTCTTTGGCTAAATTTACGTTGAGAGAACTTCGGGGAGATAATCCAATACCAGAAGGAGATATAAGAGAGATAAGAAGTGGAGTAAATTTGAGAGGAAAGGTACTTTATTATCAGACTTATGATATTCCAAACCCACTCACCCTTAAAGTTATCCTGCATTCTCCCAAAATATTCCCCTGAGATTGGGTCAGCAAATCAGGTACCCGGGTACTGGGACCTAGAGGCTTTCTTCAGGCTCCAGGGTTGCTGCAGAGGCCATGAGCAGACTTAGTCTCCCTCTCATGGAGACACCTCAGCACAGTGAGAGGCAGGAGGGGGAGAGACAGCAACTGTCAAGATCTGATGAGGGCACCCACTTGCTGGAGATGGAGGATGAGTTGAACAATTGAGCAAGAGCTGAATAGCTGGGGATTTTGAGCATAATCTCCCCCTCCCCAAATAAACCTATGTTCCCTGAGTAATACACTGACTAGAAGTGCCTGAAAGCCCCATAGAATCTCCCAGGTTCTGAAGATGTACGCTGCAGTCCCTCTACTGCTTAGTTTAAACTCTGGCTTCGTATGGATTCCTTTACAGCCTGCACACTGGGGAGACTAAGGGAAGAGGAAAGACAATGCAAACCTGAGCTCAGTCCAAGCTCCAGCACCAAAACTATTTCATCTGTGAGGCGCCACACATCCTAGCTTCTTCATCCCTTTTCCTGGAAGTCATTTGTCCTCTTCTTGCCAGCCTTTAATGGGCATCAAGAACTTTACCGACCTTCCCTTCATTGCCCAGACTCATTCTCACCTTTATGGTGAAGAGGTATCCCTTAGGGAGTGAGAGACGGCCAAGAAAAGGATATGGGGGTTGCCAAGACAAATGTTCCAATTTTATCCAAAGCCATCCTATATACTTCCAACAGCTAGGGACAAATAAAAGGTATGTACAGGAGACTGTTGGGTTTAATGGATGGTAGCACCAGCCATAACCACATGGGGCAAGACCAACTTTCAAGGCATGAATTTGGCTTTGGTTCCTCACTGCTGGAGGGAAACTGCAAGGCATGGGCTGTAGCCTTCTCAGGGCTCTTGATTGGTTCCCTTTCCCCTGAGGAGTATTGCTGGGCACTTTTTTTGTTTTAGTCTTGATAGCTTCCTCATCACATTCTACTCTGCCAACACCTAATGTACTTCTGCAGAGTTTAAGGTAAGGAGAGGAAATCCCAATATGGACACAATTCTATTTACAGAATAAAAATGTGATATTTCTCATACACCCCGATTGTGAAATGAAATTAACAATATAATGATTTAAAAAAAACAATATAATGTTTTAAAATGTCATTTCTTCATCAAAGCATAAGCCTATTCAATGGAAAGCTGGTCTTGTTCCTTTTGAATTTATCAAAATAGGTAGGCATGTTCACTCATTTGGGATTTGTAGCTATCTTAGAACACCTGAGTCAGGTGAGAGCCCCGGGTAGGCATGTTCACTCATTTGGGATTTGTAGTTATCTTAGAACACCTGAGTCAGGTGAGAGCCCCAGGCTCTTCCTCAGTCTGAGCTCCCACGCTCAGAGGGGACAGTGGGGTTCAGACACTTCTCTCACAGGAAGAAGGCTCACTGCGCAGCTTGTTTAAAATGTGTGTCTTCAGGTCCAGAGCTCAGAGACTCTGACTCAGTGGGTCTGGGTGGGGCCCAGGAATCTTCATTGTCAATGAACATCTCAGATAATTCTGAAACAGATGCCCAAACCCCACCACACTTTGAGATGTAACGGCCCAGGGCCACCCTAATTTAGGAGAGAATATTAAGAAGACCCTATGGCTGGTGCTTAGTGATAGGTACCAGAATTTTTACTAAAATGTCACTGTAGCTAATCCTGACCCTCTCTGCTGGATGGCCAGAGGCCCTATTTGTAACAGTGCTGGGACCAAACAAGTAATATGTGGGATGAGTGGATGCTCTGAGTTCTTATATGTGAAAGTAAGTGGATTTTAACTAAAGAAAGAGAACAACTGCTTGAAGAAGTGATGTAAGTATATAGATATTCAGGTATTCTCCTCCCTTCCTTCAGAAGCACTCTGTAATTCCACAAATTTCCCATTATGAACTTCCTAAACAATTGTGAGACTTACAAATTTGATGTGTTTCCTTGCTTCCTATTTGGCAGCGCCTTATCTTAAAGTTTCCTCTTTCTGTTTTGGGATCTAAGAACTAACTAATGGGAATATCTTCAAAATGAGCCAACTGCGGTGAATTCCCAAAGCGGAAGAAACAAGTGCGGGCAGCCTGGTGAATTGACAGAGCTTTTCCTGAGTGTAGCCAGACTGTTTGCCGACACTGGTTAACCGACTGAAGAAAATGTCCCTAGATTTTAGAAAAATCCCTTTGCTTGTTTTCCTTGGCCATAGTGCTGCCTGTTTTGTAACACAGAGATTTCCTAAAGGACTATTCTTAGCTTTGCTCTCAGTGCTTCACATCAGAAAAATTGGGGTCTGGTCAGTCTTTGAATGACAAGAGATTACTGTTTCACACTAGTTAGTTCCATAACTTGGAGCAAGGTTTTTTTTGTCTCTTTAAGCCTCAGATTTCCCATCTGAGAACCAAAGGTGCTTGACTGAAGTCCTGGCTGCTATAATATATTATAACATAATGTATAAATATAGGAAAAGACACCAATTTAGGTCCAAATGTTCATTATTTTTCCTTGCTGTGACATCTTTAGGTAATAATCAATAATTATATCATATATAAAGTGTCTACTGGATACCAAGTGCTTTACATACATTACTCCATACAAATTTCACAAAATAAAAGCAGACATTATTCATTTCATTTCACAGAGAATGAAACACGAACCCAGAGAAGTTAAACAACATGCTGTGATTTTTTTGACTTATTAAATGATCAATAGGGATTCAAATCCATGTTTGTGTTCTTCTAAAGACTGTGTCCTTTGTGTTCATTCCATGCCTGCTCAGACAAAAACCCCAGCAGGAAATATACCTTAGTTTTTGCATGTAAAAAATGTTAAAGCAGCATGTTTCACTTTCCATACCCATGGCTGGCCCTGTCAATTCAGTGTCATGTTGGGATCCTTTTAAAGTGGACCCTAAGACAAGGATGCGAATGAAAGTCATTTATTTGGGACACGATCCCAGGAAGCATAGTAGGTGAGTAAGGAAGTATGACAGGGAAAGCAAGGAACCTGGTAAAGGGTGTGCTAATAAGCAGGTTACCACTGTGGGAACAAGGCCTCAGCCCACCAGGCAGCTCTGGGAGATGTCTAAGATTTGCCCCAAGGAAGGGTGAAGGAATTGGGGTGGACCCACCAACTCCAATCTGTCATTGGCTGAGAGCTGAGCGGGGAGGATGTGGTTAATTCTTCTGCACTTTCAGAGGAATTGTCTGGATTCCTGAGGCCAGACAAAGCCCTCCACAAAGAATGGCAGGTGTTTACAGGTGAGAATGACATGATCTGGCTTCTGTATGCAGTGTTGGGACAAGATGGGTTTGTTAGTTTCCTACTACTGCTGTAACAAATTACTACAAATTTGATGGCTAAAAACAACTCAAATTTATCATAGTTTCTGTAGGTCAGAAATATGGTGGATGGCTTCTTTACTCTGGGTTTCACATTGTCAAAATCAAAGTGTAAGCCATTTTGGCTCTTCTTGGGAGATCTTGGGAAGAACCTACTTCCAAGATCATTCAGATGGTTGTCAGAATCCAGTTTTTTTGTGGTTGCTGGCTGCCAACCAGGAGTCCCTCTCAGTGTCTGGGGCCTACATCTCCTGGCCTATGACCCTTTCTCTTTCCAAACTCAGCAATGGCTGAATCCCTCTCTCAAATCTCTCCAACTTC